TTTTTTTTTTTTTTTTAATGTGAAATGTAGCTACAGCAACAATGAAAAAATGACAAGAAGAATGAAAAATTACTAAGAGTGTTTCCAGGGCTGACATTCAGTTGGTGCACACAGGTAGAGATTGAAAACTTTGTGAACTATTTGGTGAGTAACTGCTGCTGAGCTTCCTGAATACCTCTTCAACCCGCCTCTGGGACCCCACCGATCTCCCCGCTGTAATAACAGGACTCAACTCAAAGGGCTGATTTGAGAATTAAATGACAGAGGTAAAGCGTTTAGCACAGGGTGAGGCACTCAGCAGTATTACACCTTAGCTATTATTTTTATTATAGTCATTAATAAAATGGCAGTAAATTTCAAACTAGTTTCTACACGAATGTTTACAACTTTGGAAATGTGATAGCATTCAAGTTCATTAACTTTGACCAATAAAACGGTCACTCATATACTCACTTTAACTTTCATTTTGATATTTTCCATCGCCTAAGGGTTGACTCCTTCTTGCCCTACTCTCAAGTCCCCACAGCTCTGGTTCATCACTAAAACTTTGACTTAGGCTGTGTAAAAGAAAATACTGGCAAGGTCCTGTTATTTCTTAGTATAACCGGTCACAGAGAATGTTCTGCACAATCTTCTGTTGCACAGAACTTGTCTTTAAGTCTGGGGATAGGCAAAGATAGGCCTGAAGCCTAGTTTGGTGAAGGAGGGGTGGGAGTATGTGTATTTACTTACGTATATATCAGAAATTAGGGGTGAGAGGCAGAGGCAAGCAGCTGAGATGAGAAGAGAAAGACAGCGTGAGGGCCTGCCAGTAGGGTGGGAGTCTGGAGCTTGCGGACAGAACACCCTTTGACAGAGATGCCTTCTGGTCGCCAGTGATTTTGTGGCGTAGTTTCCCTCTCAGGAGTTTCACCTGGCAAGAGAAAAGCAGATTTTCAGTAGTGCTCCTTTCTGAGTAGAGTAAAAAAAATATGTGTTTTTTCTGTCTACATTGAGAAGATGCAGGCTAAGCGTCCATTATAAGTACATTTTCTAGAAATTTGTTATTGGCCTGGAACTTAATGTGTAAAGATTTGTTCTCAGATGTGAGTTATTTAACTGATACTTCCAGTTCTAGGATGGTAGCTAAATCCTGGCCATGCCCTGAAAAGGGCTTTGATAATAGTATTCTGTCACAAGCTGACAAGCACACTGACTCAACAGAAGAGAGATAAGAATTGCTGAAGAACTAGTTTCTGAGTGTATTCTAGAGACATTGAAGTTACTTGGTATTTCAATATATATTATACTGTCCTATAAAAAATGCACCAAATCCTGGACAAACATTCCTAGGTCAGACTTTTTTGAGTGGAGGGAGTTGGGGAAGATAAATATTATAATTCCTAAGTTTTCAGAGGGAAAATTGAAGATCAGATATAAAAAACTGACATGATGAGGCAAATGTAAAACAAAGCTCTAAACTTGGAGATCTTTAAGTATTACACAAGGTAAGCTATAAGGATTGTTAACCAAGAAATGGCTCTCACCTTTCTTAAAAAAAATTATTTAAAGTTACACAAGCTTGTTAAAATATTCAAAAAATGCTGTTTGAACTAAAATGTAAACATCTACTCCACCCCTGACTTCTAAAAATTATCTAGAGCATGACTGATAAGACTTCAATTCATCTTACTCTGGTATAAACCAAAATTTCTGTTTATTGCCAACGACCCAAATGTGTGACCCTTATAGCAGAATTTTGTTCTGTTTACAAGCTCAGTATGCTAATCTCTTTAGTGGAGGATTCATCCATGCATTCAATAAATGACTATTGAAGGATTTTATTGAATAATGGCATCACATATATCTTTTTTGTGTGACTCTGGATAAGTCACTCTACTTTCCCCTCAACGTTCTCTTTTTTACAGGGATTTAACAATAATAAAACTGACTGCAAACTACTTCCAAGAAAGCTTTCTCCTTAAAATTCGGACAATAAATACTAGTCACAAGGTCCAGGGAAGCCTCCCTCAGAAGAACCTGAGCTGCTCAAGGACAGAGAGGTTTTTTTTTTTTTTTTCTTCCTTTAGGAGGCTCTAGAAGTGCCAAGGAGCCCTGGTTGTGCAGTGGTTAAGAGCTATGGCTGCTAACCAAAAGATCGGCAGTTCGCATCCACAAGCCGCTATGGGGCAGTTCTACACTATCCTATAGGGTCACTATGAGTCGGAATTGACTCCACGGCAATGGGTATGGGTTAGGAGTACCAGGCCTTTCAGTCCTCCCTTGGGCAGCCTGATCCCCATTCGTCTCTCTGGAGAGGGTGTTTTAAGGATTAAATGTCCTAACATACGTGTTGCTCTGCGAACAATGTCTGGAATGTGGTAGACAATCAAGAAATTATAGTTATTATTAATTACTAGAGGGAATATAAAGTTTTTTTTTCAATTTACTTAGATTTTTTAAAATTATTGTACTTTAGATGGTTTACAGAACAAACTAGCTTCTCATTGAACAGTACACTCATTATTTTATGATATTGGTTACCAACCCCACCAACATGTCCACACTCTCCCTTCTACCTATTACCATCTCTCCTATCCCCTCCTGCCTTCTAGTCCTTGCCCCTGAGCTATTGTGCCCCTTTAGTCTCGTTTTGTTTAATGGGCCTGTCTAATCTTTGGCTAAAGTGTGAACCTCAGTAGTGACTTCATTACTGAGCTAAAAGGGTGTCCAGGGGCCATATTCTCGGGGTTTCTCCAGTCTCAAGGACAGAGTTTTGTTTCTTTCTGAATCAGCAGTATTTGTATCTCTGTAACAGTTCCTGGCGTATGAGACGGTCTCAAAAAAGCATTGTTAACTATATGAATGTTATCAGGCAGACTGCAGGTTTGGCAGGCTACTGCCTCTTACATCTCTTTTCTATGATCCTTTTTTATACTCAGCATCTAAAAGGTCTCCCCTATTTGCTCTAAGTATCCAAGGAAGTTACCTAAAATACACTTAAGTCTTTTAATTTGTCTTGCCTTTAGGGCACCGTTTCGCTTTTCCACGGTACTCCGCCCCCGGATTGGGATATGGGTCCAGAGGCTACGGCGGAGAGTTCGGCACGGGAAGCTCATCTTCCGGCCCTCTGATTGGTCGACTCGCACTCCACTCACTCGGCTCGCGTCTCTAATTGGCCACCGAGGCACACCCACGGCTCGCGACTATTTTGTGTGTCGGGGCGGCGCGCAAAGATCCTACCGCTCAGATCCGCGTCTGGGCCGATGTGAGGTAGCCCTTCGACTCACTGCTCTGCATCACGGGCGCAAGGAATTCCTCGAGCCCGAGCGGGTAGGAAGCATCCTAGGGAAAAGCCTCTACTCCCCCCCCCCCACTGTAGTCTTTCCCTTACTGAATAAACTTCCGCCTCAGAGGGGCTACCGTAGCCGCGGGGTATAGGCCGGGCATCTAACTCAGGCCCTCGTGGGGGGGGGGGTCTTTCGTTTCAAGAGGATACAGAAACAGCACTCACAAGATAAAATAAGGCTTCGTTGGGTCGCATGTGGGGGCGCTGCCTTTCTATTATCGCTCTGCTAACTGCAGCCGATCGGCCGGACGTGGGCTGCAGGGTTTCCTGAGCAGCAGCAGCCACCACCCCTAAAAAGTGGCAAGGAGCCGGCTTCAAATCTCCTGTACTAGTGCTCCTTAGGGCTGCAGATTGAACTGGCGCGGGCCGGTCCGTTTCCCGGCAGTCTACAGAATATAGCATTCCTCGGAGGTGGCTCTCCCGGGAGTGGAGAACCCCGCTCTACTCGCGCCCAGTTTAACCTCCGGCCTTCAGGCGGTAGAGGGCGGCCTATGCTTGCGTGCGAGCCGGCGCCCGCGCGCGTAGCTGCTGCCCTGCTGGAACTCTCCCCGTCCCGCTGTGGCCCGCTGCTCAGCTTCGCTGTGGATGCTGCAGCTAAGTTATCCACGGACGCAGCGAGGAAGGGGGCGGAGAGAAGCCTTGACACATGTCTGGGTCGCCGTTGGTGCGGCGGCCGGCGCATGCGCACTCTGTCTCAGACGCCTGGAACGCAGAGGGGCGCGCGCCCCCATTCTCGCGCGCACGTTTGTAGAGCCAAGGCTTCCCCGCCTGCGCTCGTTGTCAGAGCCGCTCCGGCGCGTGCGCGCGTTATCTCCGGCCGATCCGAGCAGCCCGGTTCCCTCTGCTGTAGGCCCCCGCCCCTCGCGGCTCCCTCCCAGCCTCCAGCCAACCCGTCCCCTTCCTCTCCTCGCGGAATGGGGCCGGCGCTGCTCGGGGTCGCGCGCCCTGGACACGGCTCGCGCTTGGTCTCGCGCTGTCAGCGACTGCCTGGCTCGCGCCGCCTCGCGCTCTCCCTCAGTCAGTGGCGCCGAAGGCTCCGTTAAGCGGCGGAGGTGGTTCCTGTTTCCGTTTCTTCCACTCCCTTCAGTCGGGAGTAGCATCCTCCACCCAGCCACCCCTCCCACTCCCCCGACGCGGGGCAGCTGCAGCTGAGGGCTGTGGCGGCGCCGGCGGCAGCTGGGGACGGCGGAGACCGCCTCTGCTCCAGTCTCGGGTAAGGGGGCATTGGGAACCGGGCCCCGCGCCCCTCGGGTCTTGGGCTAGCCAAGCACGGAATCGGAGGCGGCGCCGGGGCTGTAACTGGGGGCAAGCAACCCACAGGCCTGTTGCTGCAACTGCTGCTGCTTTTCCAGCGTCTCCCGGAAAAGTGGGGAGGGAGCCCCCGGGACGCTCTCTCGCGGGTGCCCGCCTCACCCACCGGGATGTGGAGCGGCTCCGGCGCTGCCCTCGGCTTCGCGCATCCTTGCTCAGGGTAGGGGCCGAAGCTGAGGAGAAGGGATGGAGGCAGGGTGGGAGGTGCCCTTCTTCGCTCCTCTACACCCTCCTTCCCTTTTCCCCAGCAACTCGGTCCCTGTAGTAACGGACTGTGGCAAGGAGGATGCCTGAGTGATGGGGTTTCCGTGAGGGGTTCTTGGGCTAGCAGTAGGGAGTGGAGCTGTACAAAGATTGCTCCCTGCGAGGGGCCAGTGCTAGGGCAGTTAACGGCGGGAGTGCCGTCCTACCGCCTTTTGATGTGGAAATGATCAGCTGGCGGCTTTTGAGTATCTAAACTTATTTGGGAAGGTTAAATGAGTCCATGTTTATTAGTTAAAGGAGGTTTGCCCTGCTAGAGTGAGTGGGTTATCGGGTACAGCACCTGTTCGTCTCTCACTGTGGGGATTGCAACCTTCAGTCACCCAAAACGTCAGAGACGCAATGTATTTAAGTTAAATGGCAGTGTCATGGCTAGGGCTTATCCCTGGTGAGCTTTTAGCGTTTTGCCGTGTATCAGGCTTTTAGACAGAGGCCTTGGGTAAAAGGAGGGATACTGTTTTTAATCCCTATATTTGGATTAATTTATAGTTTATTTATGCTAACTCGAGAAGGTGAACCTAGGAAAGCCAGAATATCCAGTGGGTAACGCCAAACCTTAAGGTTCCACAGAACAAATTTCAACAAAAGTTTTTAAAATCACTTTAAACTCATCACAAGTAACTGACTTGACTTTGACTTGGCTTTCTTTAGAAACTGTGGGCAGGTTTTATTATAGTTGTGTGTGTGTGTTTTCCCCTGTTATTCCTGGAATTAAAGTGCATATTTATGTTCTTATTTAAATTTTGTTTTATGCATAGTTCTTTAAAATGGTGCATAATCTAGAAAGCATTTCAGGAGAAAAAATATTTAAGCATTCAGAGCTATACTGAAATAATGGAATAACTTGTAGTCTCCTTTCTTTAAAATAACTTAAAATTCTATGCCAAGTAATAAGGCCCTGCACGTTGCTAGCCTTGTGCAATATAGTATAAGCTGTGTATAGAAAGTCTTAATTATTTGATTTATAAGTACTCCCTGGTGGCGAAGTGGTTAAGAGCTATGGCTGCTAACCGAAAGGTCAGCGGTTTGAATTCACCAGCTGCTCCTTGGAAACCCTATGGGGCATTTCTATTCTGTCCTGTAGGGTCGCTATGAGTTGAAATTGACTCCACGGCAATGGGTATAGTAATATGGATAAGGTGGGAATTCAAACATTTGAGATTGTAATTTTACAGACTTAGTGTATAAAAATGTAGGGAATTAGAAATGAATAGGCTGTAAGGAACATTGAAGGCTGGTTGGAGGCATGGGTTTTCCTTTTGCTGCTTTATAAATTGAGAATTCTACTTGAAGAGTTGAACAGCTGGAATGAAACTTGAATAGATTGCAGAAACATGCAAAAATGTATCTTTGATCAAGTAGTGAATTGACATGAAGTGGTATATTGTTTATTAGATAGTGATTCAAATTAATTTCTGTAAAATACGACACTGCAGATTATATTTTACAATATTCTTGATTTTAACTAAAAAGTCACTTAAGTTGTTTTCTTACAAATCAATTATATTTTAAGAGTATGGAATTGAAAAAACAATCATCCTGATTATATTTTCCAATGTTCTGTTACAAATTTTGTTTGTTTTTTGTTACAAATTTTAACAGTTATTTTTAAGGAAGTGGAATATGTCTTTAAAAGTGATGAATTTTGCTAGTGGCTTGGAAAAACTTGTGTTCCCTACTTGTTTATTTTTTTAAATGCAGTTATATTAGTAAGTTGGTCTGGAGGGGGAGCTAGTGCCAAAGCAAAGTATAGCTTAATATGTATTTTAACTTTCAAAACACCTAAAACCAGATCTTCTATGACCAGGAGAAACAATTTTTTAATTAAAAGAGGGGGATTGATGTGGGCATCTGTATGTACTTAGTTATTAGTGGAGTGTATACATTGTGTATTACAAATGAGTTTTTTTTAATATTATGAAATAATGGAAAGCAAATGCTTAAGATTTGAATTTCTCATGTAAAATTTCTGAACATGTATCCCAAAACTTCGTGTGGGATAGTATTTTCTTAACCTTCTTGTGCAGTGCAGCAGACAGATCTAGAATGAAGGGAGTATATCCTTGTTGCATGTTCATAAATTTGTTCTTTATAATAACTGTAATCCTAAAATTTTAAAAAAGCGTCAAGAAGAGTCTTCTATGGGCAGTGGTATGAATTGTGTAGTAAGCTAGGGATTTATCAAAAGTGGAGATACTGTCGGTAGAGAAGTGGACCCTTCAGACAGCTGGAGGGTAGGATCCCAAGGTCACTTCTTAATCACTGTCTCCTGCAATATAATGCAGTGTGTCCAGCTGATTCACTAATTGAACCTCTTGTACCTTTGAATGTGAAGCATTTTTTTTGTCGTCTTTGGTATTTTATTTAGATTTCTAAGCTGTAATCAGTTAGATTTATTAATTTACTTCTGACAGTTCACTTATTTTTCAAATCCAAGCCTGGAAATTAATAATGATGTGTATATTAAAATCATTAGAATATTCAGTGCTTTGAGGATAGTGGTTGGGCTGTTTGCTATCCATAGCTCTTCATTATGTAAATTGAATCTCAATATTGATAAGATTAAAAAAAAAAGGAACCAAAAAAACATACTCTTTTAAAGGAATGGCAACATCTGTGAGATACAGAATACTGAGGCTTACGATTTTGAAGGGTTTAAAGCTGTAATCAAAGTTTTATAAGATATGCCAGAATTTTTTTTTTTTAGTACTTCTTTAAACATTTTATTTTGAGGATAACACACACTGAAACGTCCACTAATTTCTTACATTTTTACATTTACATTGCTGATTTCTTTTTTTTAAATTTTTTTTTGTACTTCAGGTGAAGGTTTACAGAACAAATAGTTTCTCATTGAACAGTAGTACACATATTGTTGTATGACATTGGTTAACAACCCCACAACATGTCAACCCTCTCCCTTCTTGACCTTTTTTTTTTTTTTTTTGGGTGAAAATATAAATAGCCAAAGATACACCATTTCAAAAATTTATGCATGCACAGTTCAGTGACATCGACTACATTGTTCCAGTTGTGTTGCTATTCTCACTTTAGATGAAGGTTTACAGAACAAAATAGTTTCTCATTAAACAGTATGCATGTTGCCCTATGACAATGGTTAACAATCCCACTACATGTCAACACTGTCCTTACTCAACCTTGGGTACCCTATCACCAGCTTTCCTATCCCCTTCTGCCTTCTAGTCCTTGTCCCTGGACTGCTGTGCCTCATTAGTCCCGTTTTGTTATATGGGGCTGTCCAATCCCCAGCTGAACGGTGAACCTTGGAAGTGACTTCACCGCTGAGCTAAAAGGGTGTCTGGGGGCTATACTCTTGGGTTTCTCCAGTCTCTTGCAGGCCAGTAAATCTGGTCTTTTTTTGTGTGTTAGAATTTTGTTCTACATCCTTCTCCAGCTCTGTCCAGAACCCTCTGTTGTGATCCTGGTCAGATATGCCCGAATATTTTTTAATGTATCTTTGTCCATTTCTTTAATGAAAGTTAATTTTGATATAGTATAAACTGCATTGAGTAAATCTCTTCGTTTAATTAATTATTATAGCACATTTATAAAGATGAAGTATTTCATTCTGTTTTATAATAACAAGAGTAAACATAAAAAGAAATATGTAAATGAGTTTCTTTACATAAATATAAAACAAAACTTAGATCCTAAACAACTCTCACACCAAAGTATTACTATTATAGTACTTTCATACCAACTTTAGGTCTTCTATAGTCAACTCTTGAGTCCCTTGGTGGTGCATATGGTTAACACTTGATTGCTAATTGAAAGATTGGTGGTTGGAGCCCACTCAGAGGTGTCTTGGAAGAAAGGCTTGGCCATCTACTTCTGAAAAATAAGCCATTGAAAACCCTGTAGAGCACAGTTATACTCTGACACACATTGGATCACCATGAGTCAGAATTGACTTGACAGCAGCTAGTTTATGGTCAACAGTAATGCAGTAGGCGTAGCACTTAGAGGACCGGTACAGGATTCCCTTTGATTCTTCTGAGGGTTTCTTTTTTTGTAGTTTGAATTGTTATTAAATTGTAGTTTGTTATGATTCGTCAATTAAAAATATTTAAAAATAAAAGATACAACTGATTTAAAAAAATGATTTATTTATTGTATTTATTATTTACTTTTATCTACCCCTGCTGGAATGTAAATGCCATGAAAGCAGAGAATCTCTGTGTGTTTTGTTTATTGATATATCCCAAGTACCTAGAAGAGTGCCTTTACAAAGTAGATGTGCGGTAGATTATTTGCTATATTGAAAGGACCCCCCCCTTTCGCATTATTATAAATAGGGTTGCAGTGAACATTTTTGTATGTAAAGTTCTCTCACAACGTTTATTTTTTTTATACTTCTTGAAGTGAAATTGTTAGGCCAGATCATAAGAACATGTTTAAAATTCCTACTGTTTTTTTTTATTGTGGTAAATATATATGTAACAAATTGTTTGCCATTTCAGCATTCTTCACATGTACAATTTAGTGACATAATTTGTTATCATATTGTTCAATCATTACCATTGTCCGTTTCCAAATTTCCCTATCACTTTTTTCATCTAAATTTTATTTATTTTTTTGTTGTTGTTGAGAATATACACAGAAAAACATACATCAGTTCAA